TGTCCTCGAGAGGTCACAGTCTATATTACTTTTTTTTCATGAATTTAGATTTATAAACGCCCACTCACACACAAGTTCATGTAATATCGATATATATTAAATTGGCAATAAGAGAAATGGGATAAATAAATTCGAAATACATACCACACATAAAAGTTTGACCTTATGAGGCTTATGCATAATTTGTTTGTAAATGGGTCACAAATACAAGTGCTACACATTACAGGTTTGTATAGGCCCATTGTTATGCAATAATAAAATTTTTTAGCCATGTATAATTATTTTTCTATTAATACAACAATGATAAAAAATTATAACAATATATATACAAATAAAAAAAGCCAAAATTATATCAAAAAGTGGCATATCTTTAGAGGATAGAAGCGTGGGTATAAGGTTTGTGACGAATGCAATCATCATTCATATCTATATTGTAAAACATGCAAAATGGTAGTGGATAGAATATATAGACGATGTGAATGTGACAATTCTCTAATAATTAAAATAAATCAGAATTAGCAATTTGATAACAATAATAATAACGATAGCGGTAGTTTAAGCAGAATTCGGGAATTTACTATGTCAACCATTTTGTTAACATGTGACAGAATAAATTATGCAGAGATCTTGTGAATTTGACTTTTAAACTTAGTTCTCAGATCATTAAAAAATGCAATGGTTGTAATACAAACATCATCATGCAGATACGTAACATTGTTTATTTTATAAATACCTATTGTGCACAAAGAAAAAAAAATTCGTCTTTTAATATTTTTGTTGATTATCTATATTATAAATTTTGGGATTATCAAACATGACTAACGCCGATAGCCAGCCTCCAAACTCTATAATAACTATGTAGATTTTACTTGAAGGGAAAAAAAGAGCAGTGCAAGTTGACCTTGATCAAATAAATTACGAAAACTGTAGTCTTAACTTGGACCGACTTATGCTTGTTCTTAAAGAAGAGTTTAATAAACTTCTGAATATCGAATGAAGAGATATTGAATTTTTTTCTCTCAATGGCCACAATACACTCACACCTCTTCGTAGTAGAACATTACTTACAGAAATAGTCACAACAGATATAGCCCACTTGTTGTGAGGTACTCTCTTTCAGATGCAAGCAGTAGGTATATGTATTGTAATTCAATTTACTTTTATTCATAACCTTATTAGTTTTCCTGTTCGTAGTTATAGTAAAATACAAGTTTTTACGATACTCGGATACTTATGAAATGCTACATTCTAGTAGTTCTTGAGTTTTGCTTTGGGAAGCTGTTTATAAAAGATTTGAGAAGTTGCAAACCTGTGATTTTTATTTTGTTTCTAAAATTAAATTGGAGGAAAAAAAAATTGAAAATGAATTCCAGTTCAATAAATTGGTAGACAGAACTGATTCAAATGATCATGGCGGACATTTTCTTGACCTTAAAATACAAATAAAAGGTAAAAAAGTATATGGAGATTGGAACCTCAAGGAGGTTTCCAAGAAGATATATAATAATATATTTGATTCTATCAAATCAATGCCAATATTTGAAATACATGAAATTTTCAAATTAGACCCCCACATAATGATGATGATTTAAAACATTTTGAAGACAACCTTCGGGAGAAGATGAATATTTTTCACAATGAGGTTACTACAAATGAAGCAACTGCAAAAGAATTTATTTTGGTCTTTCTATCTTTAGCAGTTAACCACGTATGAGCATGTAATGATCCATTAACACGATTAAAGGTAGAAGTGGAACTCGATAGAAGCCATGGCTACGGTGTTTTGGATTACGGTATCTATATACAAAAAATCCCTGTTTTGGTGACAGAAGCCAAACTATATAAAAGCGAGAAAGCCATTGCACAAACTCTAGTACAAATTCACAGTGCTGTGGAATCATTGCTGGGCAAGCAAAAATGATCCGAACAAACAATGTTTGGTATCGTGACAACAGGTCGTTTTTGGCGTTTTATCCGATGGAATGGGTCATTAGAATGCCCAAAAGCAAAGATAACTCAAGAATACCCTTGTATTTTTAAAAATGATATGAAAGAAGCCAAAAGGGTGGTCTCTTACATTGTATATGTGCTACAAGCACAAGCTAAATCATTGAACAAGGAGAAACCATGTGCAAAATGATTATGCACTGATGATAAGTTAGGATAGGTATAATATTTTTTTTACGTAGCATTATTCATTTTTAATATACGGCTAATAATGACTAATAAAGAAAGCCTTAAAAAACATTGATTAATGTTGTGTGGTATTGAATATCAAATATTTTTCCAAGTGTTTTTTAGAAAATCGATGTTCTTATTTTTGTACATTGTCATAAATAATTGGGTACAAAGTTTATAAAGTATGATTTTTGATTATTACATTATTACATAAATCTATTAATTGTAACAAAAAAATGTCATCGGTTCTATTTCAAGATATAAAGCAAGCCTGGTGGCTCAATTTCGTATACGTAATCAGTTTACTTTTGTATATGTATTTCGTGAATTTATTTTATTGTATTGTTATTGATGTATATATGATCGAGAATTTTTTTACGCAGTCATGTGTTTTGGATTTATTTATTTTTTGTATTTACGTAGCATGTATCTCTGATTATGTTTCGATGAAAATATACATCTCCATAATAAAAGAATTGAATATATCTATATTTTATATTAAAAATGGCAAACATACAATCTAAAGATGACTTGTTAAGAGAATTGAATTATAAGCTTGTAGCTGAGATTGATAAACTTAGGAAGGAGAATGCAGAAATACCTGAACTTAAAAAGAAATATACTGAAATTAAGGCTAAGAATATAAAATTAAAGCAGATTATAGAAGAAAATGCAGTGCTCAAGATTCGATTTGAAGAGCTAGAAAAGAAACACCAAACAGATACTACCAAACTTACTACTGAGAATACCGAGCTGAAAGATAGAGTTACAAAATTAGAACAGATACAGACTCTAGTCACTATTAATAACCAAAATGCATCTTCTACAAAAGATAAGAAATCTATTATTACCGATTCCACCCAGCTCCAGAAAGGTGAGTCTAAATATTTATTTGAATCTCCAACAGAGCCTGTGATATCTATAACATCTTTACAACAAGATATTGTTGATGACGATTTGGCTAGTACCCTTGAATTCATAGAAATGATACATAAAGAAATGTGGCTAATGAAATAAGGCAACACAATAGGGAAAAGAAACTTCAATGTAAAGCAATTTCTCAAGAGATACCTTCAAATTTCCAAAATATTGCACCCATTATTTCTTACGAGCAAAAGAAAGAACAATGCTTAATTCAGAAAATATCTGCAGATGATAGCCAGGATGATGCATTCCTATCCACCCAAGATCATGACTCCATATCTCCGGAATATGAGACTGAAATTTTGCTGACCTCGGGTCAGGAAAAATCGAGCATCTTCCAAAATATCGCCCACTTATATGAAAAAGCATGTGATGCGGAATATGAATCAATAAAAGCTAATCATGCTGAAATTTTATGCTGGAGTAATTTTATTATAGTACTTGACAAAAGTCTTGATGAACTCATGGTTAGGGATAAAGTGAGTATGAAAAAAGCTAAAGATCAAGTTTATGATTTTATTATTGCACAAAATCCTGGTATTAGGCATGAATCACTATATAAGAAAATTGAAAGAGCTAGAAAAATTTACAGGTTATTCGAAAAAATAGGTTTAGATAAAGTAAAATATATTAAGTCATATAGTGTGAATGCTATTTCGAAATTTACCAATAAACAGATTCAAACGATTATTGATCATTTTACTAAAAATTCTACCAACAATTCATTGATAACCAGGACAATTCTTCAGATGATTTACCCAAAACTGATGTAGATAAGAAAACTTTACTGAAAATTGAGATGAGTATACTAACCATATCTCAGCCCAAGCTTCAAATTTTAGCAGAATTAGCACAGCCAAAAGCCTTCTATGCCCCTCCAAAACTCTTCCTATTCAAGAAAAAGCTATCAAAAGAGATGCGTAATCCAGTTATTAATAAACTAACCTCACATTTTACCGACTCACCAAAGTTAGATAAAAATTATAGTATTGATACTGAAGGTGAGCATCAAACTGATTCCTATTGGGTTTTCGGTCCACATTGTCCACTATGTAGAGAAAATCATATGAGTTTAGATGGTAAGTGGTGGCTAGATAGTCGAAGTAAAAATACATATTATTTACATTGCACTAATTTAAAAGAGCCAGGAATTCCATACGATGATGTACTAAAAGCATATTCTGGTAATTCGGAACTGATTCAAGAGTTAAAAACTCGATGCTTCACATCACCTATCTCTTGGAATCATGTTCCTATTTTACCAGATAAAAGTATAGTAGTGGAAGCATAGTCACTGTATGACCTTGTCTATGATAAGAAATCATGATTAAATGATAATATATATATTATTATTATGTATTTATCATATCAATAAAGAGTTAGATCGTCAGTCCACATCGCCAAGATTCTAACGCATCTCAATCGTGACTCAACTGAGGTATGCCTTTTTTTTCATATAATTATATAATAAAAATTCAACCGCGACTCAACTACAACTCAACTGAAGCATTTTGGACTGAGCGATCTTAAATGAAAATAATAATCATTATAGCACATCAATTATATAAGTGGTATGATTAGTATGAACCAAGGGCCGATCGATCTACTGGTAATCATTCACGATTTACAAATAAGTAGCTAAGCTTAATTTAATCAAAATTCGAAATTACACTTTTGGGAGTTATTTCGCATTTATATGGAAAGACTAATTTATACGAATGGCCAGGTGGTGTGAATTGGTGGGGGAGATAAAGTCAGTTAGAAGCACGACGTGCCATGAATGATCTTTATTTCATAAAAATCGCGTAAAAATAAAAAATGGCGAGGTAAGCGGACCCTCTTTATTTAATAAAAAATTGTTGCCGGAACGACAACAGACGAATAAAAAAAAATTTATTTATATAATAAATAATACAAATAAAAAAAACACTACATACTTTACGTAACCTTCCCAAGCAACTAATTATTGAACTAAAAGAGGAACACGTGACTAAAATTTTCCAATAAGCTATGTTATACAAATTACATTGTGGCTATGACGGATTTTAGCAACTAAAGTTATGGCAAAATAGATAATAATAATCAAACTGTTGTATCGATCATCCATTGCTTAGAATCAGAAGTTCCAGGTCCAATTTTTGAATCTTTGATATCTCCGCTCTTAGCCACCGCGTAATAGCTTGAGTTGCTTGCACAAGAAATGCTCACAAGAGTATCTGTCTTCTGTGGATTAACTACAAATTGTTGTGACTTATCACCGGGGTTATAAGCTTTCAGCAAAAATTTGTTTGATGTATTAGGATCGTATGTGATAGCCTTATTCGCATCTATATCCTGGGTAATATATATTACAGTAGTATCATCGCTGTCGTTAATAATCGTCCAATTCTGTGTTTCATCAGAAGAACCAGATTCTAACTCAACATAATTATTTTTCGATGTCCAATAATTGTTACTACCCTTATCATGGATGGTAACTGTGATTTGGATCGTTAGGAGGAAGACTAAATAATACAATAAAAAGATGACAAGAAAAGAAAATATTTATTATGGATGGTAACTGTGATTGGACGTTAGGAGGAAGACTAAATAATACAATAAAAAGATGACAAGAAAAGAAAATATTTATTACGTTGACATTTTGTAATAAGTTACAGTACTTTGATGCAAACCTTTTTGATAAAAGGATTGAAGATTGTTGCTCAGAAGGCGACCTTTTTATATCTAAAAATTAGTAAATAACAAAATCAATTTCTATAGAATCGTCTGACATCACTTCTTCACTATCCGAATCAGATATTTCTGGAGCTGGTTCTCTATAATTTTTAGCAGAGATAGTTTTACTAAAATTAGATTTTTGAATAGATGGAGCTGAAGTGAGTAAACTTTTAGCATGAGCTGGCATATTGGTGTTAGTCTTAGCTTTGAGTTTTTCTATCCAATCTATAGGTGCAATGCCATCAAGCACATCTAGTACAACCCTTTGAAGAGATTTATCAATAACAATAGATTTATTTCATAACTTACTAGAATTGAAAATCTTCTTCTGGTCCCCTTTGCAAGGCTTGAATGGGTTTCTAGCTCGAAGCTTTGCTTTCTCTTTTTTGATTTTGAATTGCTTAAGTTTATTTTCAGATAGCGATTTTGAAGAGTTGCTCTTATGTTTTACTTTTTTTTACCTTACTAATATGAACCTTAATGTCACTTTTAGATTCAGATTCGGCTGAGGATTCTTCAAAATTGGATCCTGATTCAGAGCCAGAATCAGAATTATTATCAGAAGAGTTAGTATCTGAATCTGACTCAGAGCTCAAATCTACAGTAACCTTATGAACATTATCTTTTTTATTTTTGGATCTACTCTTCTTTTTCCAAGGACACTTACGAGAATTATGCCCAGTTTTATTACAGTTTGAGCAACGGTGTTGTGCTTTCATAGCTTTTTTAATAGCCTTAGCTATGTGCAACTTCAACTGCTTCTTCATAAGATTGGCCAATTCATCATCAGAGTCAACTTCAACTTTCTTTATTACTGGTTTTGGAGGCAAATCGGGCTTGAAGATAGGAACAAATTTTGAAACCTCCCCAGTAATCCATTGTACAAATCTATCCATTAATATATCTTGCATTTTTTGATATGTGCCAGGA